ATATTTTCTTTAAAGAAATGTCTAGTGAAGTCCTTCGTCCATTTTTAAATTGGGTTGTTTGGGTTTTGTTGTTGTTTAAAGAGGTTTTACAGCCAGGAATGAGACATGGTTGGATTTGTGTGAGGGACAGATCCTCTAGTTATAACATGAAAAACAGACTGGAGTGGGAAGAGTAAAGGCATGAAGACAGAATTATTTTAGGAGCTGACAAGGCCTGAGGCAGTTTAGTGGCAGCCAGAAGCAAAGCATGAGTAACATTTGGGGGGGGGATGGAGGGAGGATACCTCTCATTGTCTGGTGTCTGAAGTCCTTAACAAGGCCCATTGTCTCTTTCCCAACCTCCTCCTGGAATTCTGAACCAGGCAGGAAAGCAGAGATGACAGGAGAAAGACTGCACTGAGAAAAGAGAAAAAACAGCTCTTCCAAGGAGGGGCGGGGCAGGAAAGGAGATATAATTCAACACCATTTTCCAAAACTTGCTGTAACTAAGAAAAAAATCTCAAACCAGGCACAGGCGAGAAGGCTCACAGCATTTGTATTCTGAGGGATGCAAAGCTGTGTGTGTGTGGACACGAATTCATGCCTTTCTTATGTGTGAATGAAATACTATAGGGGCTGAGATGGCCTAACTAACAGAGGCCACTTGGCTTATTGCAAAGGACACTTAGTTTTGCTTGCTTTGTGTTTTCTAGCTTTTCTTCTGGAAAGTTCAGTCACTTTTACCTGCTGCCCATCAAACAGAGATGGAGCTTATACTCTATGCTCCATACCTTAATTCATAGTTTTGAGTCAATTTTATTCTTGACATAAAACCTAGCTACAGAGATGTACACAAAATGTAAACGTGCAGCTCGATAAGTTGTCTTGAAGTGACATGGTGTTACCAGCACCAGGTCAAGAAGCAGAACTTTACAAAAATCCAGAGGCCCCCTCATGCTCCTTCTAGGTGCCACCCACCCTCCCAAAGTAACCTCTAAGCTGACATCTCTCGCCATGCATTGGCTGGGCGCACTTTTTAACTTAAGGAAGTCATTACGTATGGTAGCTTTTGGTGCCTGGCTTCTTTTGCTCAACGTAATGTTTGTAAGATTCTTCCATATTATTGTTTTGTGATAGATTGCATGTTTTCATCTCTTGATGGTGTTCCCTCGTGTGAATGACTATACCATGACATATCTATTCGACTGTTTCTAGATATTTGGGTTGGTGAAGTTTGTGGCTGACATAAGCAGTGCTGATACAGACACTCTGATACGTCTGTATTGAATGTTTTTTGTATGTCTGTTGGATACAACAGACATACACACAAACATTATTCTCGGTAGTTATGTTCTATAAAGACCCCCGCAGACACTGAGTTAGCGAATACTGAATCATCTCAGGGTTACATTCCTGCAAGCCTCTGGTCACAACGTTTTTGTGGACCTAACAATATGCTGCCTTGTTTTACGAGGCCTGACAATTAAGTTCGTGAACTTGTTGCAACGATATTGCTAACCTTTTTTGATACCAGAGGGATTGTTCATTATGAATTTGTACCATTGGACAAACAGTTAACCAAGTTTACTATTTGGAAATGCTGAAAAGGCTGCATGAAAAAGTTAGGCGACCTGAACTTTTCGCCAACAATTCATGGCTCTTGCATCACGACAATGCACCAGCTCACACAGCACTGTCTGTGAGGGAGTTTTTAGCCAGTAAACAA